GGAGGTGGTATCTTACCAGATGGTCCATTCATTGCTGCTGTTGGAGGCAAAGTATTGTTAAAAACAAACTTAAATCCAACTGAAACACCTTTTCTGTTGGTTAACTGGCAATTTGGTAGTTCACCACCTAAGATCATAATAACATCACTGTCTGGCGTAAATAAAACTGGACCAGGATATGAAGATAGGATCACACTCTTCATATCTACTGGATCTCTGGAGCTCAGGGATCTGACACTCAATGACAGTGGAGAATACAGAGTCACCATTGAACCTGCTACAGGTCTACAAGAAATAGGTGATACCACTCTGAATATATATGGTGAGTTAATGGTAAACCAAATTAATAGATTTCATTTTCAACATTTCTAAACTGACTTCTGGTTCCTATGTCATCTTAGAGTCCTGGTTTCATCCATCCAATGTATTCACCCATGAAGAGGCTTTAATTCCCTCCACCTAGATTTTCATATAATTTTGGTGGATAATCAAAAACAGTATAAGAGTAACAAACCCTTTGTTCTAACCTAAGTAAACCTGTCAGCTATCTTGTTTGATTTATTTTATTTCAATGTTGTATATGAAAAAAGAATACCAAACTACAAATAATACATTTGGTAAAATAAATATAAATCTTCTCTATCTAAGCCATATATGGGATCATGCTATTTCAAATATATGATAAGTTTAATATTATTTTTAAAGAAGAAACAATTTTAAACAATACATAAACTTGAATAAAGTAGAAACATCAACTAAATTTAGTTCTGTGGATTGTTTTTCCTATTTTTAGAAGACCTATTTATACTGAGAGTTTCTTGTTTCTACCAACAGAACCAGTCCCTGATGTAACCGTTTCCCCACTAAGTGCAGACTTGGTTGAATTCAACAGCTCAGTCCGTCTATCCTGCTCCTCCTCCTCTGGATCTTCTCTCTCCTTCCGCTGGTTGAACAGCAGCTCTGAGGTTACTCCCAGTGACAGGGTTCAGATCCTTGATGGAGGATCAACTCTGACTATAGTTAATGTGACCCGCTATGACAAGGGATTATATAGCTGCAATGTGTCTAATCTTGTCTCTTCTCAAAGCAGTGCTCCAATACCAATCAGTATCAGCTGTAAGTTGATAATCTGCATGTTCACTATCTGCTTAGATTTTCTTGCAACCATCAGAAATCAAATCCTTATCACACACCTTGTTAAAAATGTTTTAAAGATTTTAGTTAACAGCAAAATCTATTATATATACATATAACTTTTCCAGTGGATGACATTTTCTTCACAATCTCTGTCTTTCTTTTCTACAATCAGATGGGCCAGACAGTGTAAGATCAGAGGTGAATCCATCAGGAGAACATCATAAGACTGGGTCAGACATCATTCTGACCTGCTCTGCTGATTCAAGACCTTCTGCTGAATATCAGTGGTTTCTGAATGGAGNTGGTAGGCATGAAATATTTTTGAAAAATTAAATATAAGTGGACAAAGACCGTCTATTACTCAGATAAAAATATTTAGAATTCCTGATTCCTTCCTGTTTCTCAATGTTGGGCAGCTGTAAAATAATCATTAGAAAGCATTTATGTATTAACATTTATCAGTCTCATTAATTTGCAAATATGTTAATCAAACTAAAACCTTTAAAAAAATTCATGTCTGAATCCATCTAACGTAATTTCAAACCTCTTGAACAAATTGCCAGGAATGAGTAATGCATATATATTTACTCAGATGAAAGAATTTACATTTTATAACCAACCACTGTAATCATCCTGACTCCCACTCATTAGGTTTATAGGGCGATGGTGCTGTAGGGGCCTCTTGGAGTTAACAGCCAGACTCAGGGAGGTCCAAATGGAAGAAATTTAATCTTGACTTTTCTTGTCAGAGACACCGTGAAAATTGTAACATGAAATACAAGAATATGTAATTGTTGGACAAGCTTAACTCTTGTTTAAAATTTTTATTTTAATGTTCACACACAGCAAAAAAGGATTTGTATTGCCCTTCACTCGTCAGCATAAAGTTTTGTGTTTTAAACAAATAAACAACTGATGTTCTACTGCTTCAAAAATAAAAGAATAACATTTCTTATCATAAATCACAATTGTGCATAGTTATAGATCATTCTGCTTTCCAAGGGTACTATTTGAACAGATCTAAGGCTGTCTCATCATGCTTAGAAAGAACAGGAACTACAGCAAATCACAAAAAACATGAAGAACAAATCTACCATTCTTCAAAATAAAGCATAAATTAACCACTAGGTGTCACTGCTGGACCCATGAACAAGAATTCTATCATTTAGTAGTTATTTACAGGTGTCTAGCTCCAGTCATTTAGGAATAAGAGCAGGGTACATCTATACTTTCCTCAGAGGGTCTGTCTACACTAGGGCTGATACTAATGATTGTTTTTCAAATCGATTAATCTATCAATTGTTTTTTTTGACAAATCGATTAATAATCGGATAGCAAAAGGTTCCTTAAAGAAGATTTTTTTTTTTTTACAAAATTAAACCAGGTGAACATACATTTTTTTTCCATTTGAGGAGTTCTAGATAGAGCATTTTAACAGACGAAATCATTTGTTTTAATCTTAAGTGAAAAATGTTAACATTTTTTTTTTACAATTCCGATATAATTACTGCTCTAAGTGGGTTGCTCTGTCAGCCAAAGGCATGTTTTACAGTCTCTATACTTCAGTTAACGATTTATCAATTACTAATTAGTTGACGATTACTTCAATAAATATATAATCCGATTGTTTCCACCCTAGTCTATAGACACACACACAATATCACATTTCTCTATCCTCTTTTTTTTTTTTTTTCAGCTTTTATTGTCATTAGACTGTCACAAGTGCAGAGCAACGAAATGAACTCTCTGCATTTAAACCATCCCCTTGGGAAGCAGTGGGATGCCATTGTGAGGCGCCCGGGGAGCAGTGTGGGGTCAAGGGTCTTGCTCAGGGACCCAGAGTGGCAGTCTGTGGGAGTGGGGCTGGAACTCAGAACCTCTGGTTTTCAAGTTCTACGTCCAAACCACAAACACTGGAGCATTCCAATTGACTTTCCATTGACTTCTATTCATTTCTTTCCTATTTCTTCTGCTTTAACATGACCAATTTATTTATTTAAAATTGATTTAATTTAAAACATAAATCATGTTGGTCGAAACTGGTTAAAAACTCTGAAAAGTACTATAAAAGAGTAATCAGAGTTCATTATTGTATTAGATATTGTAATAGAATACATTTTGGGGGACTTAGTCAATCAATGGGGATATGTGGGCAAAAACATTAGAAATGCATAGACTGAATTCCAAATTAACTGTTTTACTACTTTTTGTGTTCTACAGTAGTACAATTGTACATAACAGTACTTTAACTGTCATGCAGAAGAACTTGGTCAGTGCTTGGTGAAGCACTCTTGAGCGAACGCACCAAGCAGCTCCTGTGACCTGCTGTTTGTTTCTGCTTTAATGATGTTTGTTTTATTTTATTTTTTACATAATAGATATATTGCACTGGAGATGAGCTGGCCCATCATTTTTAAAATTGTAGCAAACTCATTACGAGCCAAAGTAACAATGCAGTTACTTTTTACGTTTTACAATCTGAAATAATTTTTCAAAAACTTTCTCGGTATTGGAATTTCAATTTCAAATTTAGTTATGGAATATAATGTGTTTGTTATCAATTAATGTAGTTAAAAATGTAACTAAGGGTTACATTACTGAGAACATTGAGACCTACTGTAATCTGGTCTTTGCTGTGTGATGTTTGACAAGTGAATTGCAATACAATTATTTAGATATGATGATTGGTTTTGTTTATGACATAAAAATGTCACATTTCCATTACATTAAACATGAAAGTAGATCATACTATTCCTGTAAAATGAACTATCTGTGGAAACGTGTTTATACCTTAATGACAGCACTACGTCATAAGAGTTTAATTGGTACCATGCAATTGTTCAAACAGGGATTTTCCTGATTAGATTTTTTTTAAATGCAAGCGACTCATTTGTAGAAAGACGTAGCGCATCCTCCATGATATACTCAACCACCTGCCCTCTCACTTCTCCTGGGTCAAAAAAAAAAATCACCTGTCTCAAAAAAAAAAATCTTACCTCAGGTCTTGAGAAATCCAACTTTTGTTGTTTAGGTTTGCTTGTGCCATCATCCTGCGACCTATTGTTAGTAAGATGTCTTTCAGCCTCTAGCTTAAGGTCTTTGTGCACTCTCTCCTGGTGTTTCTAGTTCTATTTTTAGTTGTAGACAGTTCCAGGTGTTACAAAACTGAAAAAAAAAGTAACACCAGTACAAGTTTTAAACTTCAAGGTTTTGTCAATTGGGGAGTGTTGGCCAAGTGGTTAGAGCAGTGTTCTTGTGCTCTGAGAAGGTTGCAAGTACACAGTTCAATCCCCACAGTCTGCACTCTGGATTCCTGAGCAAGACACTTAAGCCCTCACTGCTCCCCAGGCGCTGTGCAATGGCAGCCCACTACTCCCCAAGGGGATAGGTCAAATGCAGAGAGTGAGTTTCCCCATTGTGGGACAATATAGGGATTTACAAGAACAAAAAAAATTGGAATCTGGAAATTTTGTGTTTTCTATTTGATAAAACTGTTCAATGGATTATTTCAATCTGAAAAACTCACACAAAGAGAAAAGACAATTAGAAGAAATTTGTTGATAGAATTATTTGGTCTTTGGCGCTCCGACCTCGGCAGGAAACATTGCGCTTAATTTAGATAAATATGCATGAACAGGTGTAAAGAATATGGCTGTTTCCCCACCAGGCCTGAAACTGGTGGAGTAGAGATAGATGAAGTTGGTCAGTCTGTAGACTGCTGGTTAGCGAGACGGTATGCTGAGCTTTATGGGAAGATCCAGTGGACTGCGTGAGCTGACACTAGAGCTTCACTCACGGACCTGGAAGACCAACATTTCTTTGTTTGTTTCTGATTTATGTTATTATGTATTTCACCCACAGATCCTGTCTTAAATGTAAAAGTTACTCAAGAATCCTCAGACTTGATTGAGTTTCAAAAATCTGCCAGCTTCCGCTGCTCCTCGTCTGGATCATCTCTCTCCTTCCGCTGGATGAAAGACTCCTCTGAGATTACAGCCAGTGACAGAGTTCAGATTACTGATGGAGGATCCACTCTGACTATTGTCAATGTGACCAGAAATGATGATGGATCATACAGCTGTGAAGTGTCCAATCCTGTCAGTAATGCCAACAGTGATCCAGTATTCCTCTCTATCAGCTGTAAGTTGTTCACATATGATAATCTCTTTTTAAAAAGAAAGAAAATGCAACTTAAGCAAAGCTATCAGGGCTTTAACAACTGTAACGCTGTTTCTGCATACTTTTGGAAAATATTAGCAAATACATTTTTTTGTTAGGGTGATTTTGATTTTTAAAAACGTTTAGTTGAATATAGATCAGGCATGTCCATTTTTAACATAAGGGATCATAAAGGCTTCAAATATTGTTTCATATTTTTGTAACATTAACTTTTTAGCTTTCAAGGAGAAAGCCGATGTTAAGCTCGCACTACATTAATAATGCTGTTAGTGATGTTAGTGTATAAATTAAGTAATCTGTCATTAAATATTAAATAATTTTTTTCTACAATTTCAGATGGCCCAGAAAAAGTCACATTAAAGGTTAATCCTGAATCTCATAAACCATTTGTGGAAGGTTCAGACATCAGCTTGTCTTGTTCGGCTGACTCCAGACCTGCTGCCGTGTTTAGTTGGTTACTAAATGAAAAAAATCTGACGAATTCTGAACATGAGCTCAAGCTAATCAGTGTTCAGAGGAATCAGAGTGGAAACTACAGCTGTCGGGCCTTTAACAGTAAAACCAAAGTATATCAAACATCTCAACCTGCATTTCTCTCTATAGTGGGTAAGTCACAGTACATTCACAAATGTCTATGAATTGCTTTTATTTCATGGGAAATCCCTGCATAAATAAGTCATCGGGGTCCTGGCAACCACAGAACAGGCTATCCAGGATTCTTTGTCAATTCTGACGGCTCACACCAGAGCAATCTGTAGTTGGATTGCTGATGATTTATGCAGCATGGTCCATCCTTTTAAGCACATTCCAAGATACAAATTAATGATCAGTCTGCTTGCATAGTTGGGTTTTGGTCAATATGGGGTATGCATAACAAAATTTGAATAATGATGAGAGTGCTGATGTTATTTCATAGGACTAAGTATATGACTTAATTTAAGATCTCTGTTCAGTGATGAATTTTCCATTTTAACTAAGATGGCTTTGTTCACCCCTCTTTCAAACCACCTAATCCTCTCTGTCTAAAATCTGAGCATTCTGATCTTCAAAGGTGTGCTTTGGTCTTGATGTGTGGGTGTTAGCTGAGTCTTGCACAGAGTTACTGGCTCTTCTGTGTTGCGCAATGCATCTGTGTAGTTGTTGTGTGGTTTCTCCAGTATAGGAGTCCAAACACTCCTTATTACACTGGACATCATGAAAAATGCCTCAGCTTTGGTTTTGGTGTGCTAGGCTCCATTTCACAAAGCAGGTTCAACAAAGATTCAAATCCTCAACTCTAAATCGATCTAGCCTAAAGTAGTTTTCAGTTTAACAGCAGCTGCTATGAATTATTTTAATCAACTGTAAGTAGGTGCAGTCAGAGGTTAACGCATGCATAACAACTATGAAAAGCCTTTATCAGTGGAGCCCTGATTCAATGTGACAACGGGCAACAGGAAGTGCCTATTTCACACCACTGGAACTGGAGATTTTAATGAAGAAATTAAAAGAAAATGGAGAATGGGTCTAAAAGACATAGAAATGGCGCTTAGTGCCACCTATTCAGATTTAAGTAAGAAAACCTAAAAATGCGTGATACTGAAGGGAGCTGCAATAATTAACACACTTAACAATTAACAAGTACAGTCTACATGTGTTGTATATACTAACTACAGTTAGTAACTATCTATTATATCCATATATTAGTTTAAAATATAAAGTTTTGATAAACTACTTTCTTTTATCTTCTGTTTTGTTTTAGAAAAGCAACCAAGTCTCTCTGGAGGTGCCATTGCTGGAATAGTAATAGCATGTTTGTTAGTTGCTGCTGCAGGAGCTACTGGAGGCTTCTTCATCTATAAAAAGATGTAAGTTTATACATGTTGGAAACAATACAATATCATACAACTTTTTGTGATGAGTCATTACAAAGTTGTTTTCTTGATTGTTTATAATTATCTAAAGTTAAAAGCAGTTATATTGTTTAAATAACTGATGATGATAGTTGAAGTCATAATTTGTATGTTTTCCTCCAATCTTTAGAAAAAAACCTAATCCACCGTCAGCCACAGAAGGTTTGTATGAGTAATTCTATAACTTTGATTCACTTTACTTTCCAACTAGTTCACATGTAAGTGTAATTTATTGTAGGACACTTGGGCCCAAACCCAACCCAACCCCCACCCCCAAACCCCCTTCCCCCAACTTCCCATCACTATTCCTAACACACTATCCAAACACCTTTGAACTGAAGCTACAAAGGTTAGGGCTTAATAATCTTCCCTAGAAATTGGGACAGCCCTCTCTGCACAGTTGACGTTCTGTTACCTAAACAAATGAATATTTACGTATGCGCATACAAAAGTATGTGTCACCATAAGAGAAGAAACAAAGCGTATCTAACACTGGAAATTGTAGAAAGGGGATAAAGTTGAGCTTGGTTTACTATCCTTACTTCACCAAGCTGACAATTTCCAGTGTGATAAATAGGCTAACCACAAGATCATAGGACAGGATTACACAGTGCCATGCCATTTTTAGAAATGTTAAATTGAAGACAGAGAAAATAATAATGCTGACAAGTCTCCCTCAGTAAGCCTAGAGTCTAGCTAAAGGCTCTACTGTAGCTCAGTCTCCCTGGCAGGCATCTCCCAGCCCTAAAAAAGAAGGCTAGGGGTTTATTGAATTTGGCTTTAATGTATCATTTACAACAGAGCTTAAGAAAATAGCTTATTTTGTAAATTATGCTCTTGGACCTATCATTGTCATTTTGAAAAAAACAATCATTTAAAACATTTTTCTTTTTAGAACCAGATAATGGGTATGTTAACATGCCAGGAATAAAAGGTAATAAGAAAGAAAACCAGGTCTATGAGAATGTTGCTGGGATTAAGACCAATAAAGAAGAAGAACATGTGTATGAGGAGATGTCTCACAATAAAAGGAAAAAAAACTAATTAAATGTTTTCTGTTAAAAGGTAAGTTTTGGTCTTATTAGAATCCTGATAAAAAAAAGTGCGAATTACTTGATTATATTTTTCTTTATTTTGTAAAAAATAACATTTAAGCAGTGTCTTTTTTTTTATTATGGTAAGTACTTGAGCACTGAGCTAATGTTTTTTTTTTTTTTTTTTTTAATGCAGGTGATCACATGCGAAAGTAACTATGGATAAATGAGACGAGAGGAAGACATTTTCAGCATGGCTTTGATGTTGTGCTTTTGGTTTTGGAGTTTAATGAATTCTTTAAATTGTTAATCATTTTCCCTAATGTTCTATTGTTATAAAAGAAGTGTAACGATAATTCTTACTGTAATGTGTACCTCATAAAGATGCCATTTTTCTGAAAAGGGGAAATGTAAAAAAAAAAAAGGAACAAGAACTATACTCTTCTTTGTTGAAAACAGGAACTGAATGCAGGATGAACATATATTGAATTGTCCTCGGCCTGGAGGGAAAAACAACACCTTTTCCAGAAGACTTCCAACTTTTAGTGAAACTTGTCTGCAATTGGGTTTAACTGTGTCCTGTCTACAAAAAACTGCCAGACACTTCCTTCTATTTTTTAGTGGAAAATAGATTTTTGAATTACACATAATTTCAAAATATCTGCAAGTGTTGTGAGTAATCATCTTTTACTTATTTTTAATGGTTAAACCAGTCAGGCCAATTCAACTTATTTCAGTTTATTTATACAAAATTGAATAGAACAGAAAATCCCTTTATTGTCCCACAAGAGGGAAAATGTGATGTTACAGCATCAAAGCATCACAGCATAAGTGGTCACACAATGTAGACATTAAATTTGTGTATATATATATATATATACGTATATATAAAAATAAGTGATAAAGTTACAAAAAAGTAAAAAAAAAAAATTTACAAAATAAAATATTGTGCTGTATAAGTTTTTTTTTTTTACAATTATAAATGCTGTGCAGTCATCCGAAGAATAAATAATCAATACACAGCTGTAGACATTTTTACAGTAGTGGATATGGGAAAATAGCAACATCAGAGATGTACATAACAGCAGTGTGTTATTTAAGGGACTAAGACAGAAACTGTGCAAAAAACAGCATGAATGTAACAACTTGTTGATGTTGTTGGGAACAGTGATGGTTATAAAGTCTTACAGCTGCTGGGAGGAAGAATCTGTGATCACGCTTCCTGGTGCATTTAGGGTGCAGCAGTAAGTCACTGAAGGAGCTCTCCAGTTCTTCATGCATGGGATGGGAGATACATTAAGACATGGTATTTTAGTTAGGGTCATTTTGTTTCCCACCTTCTGTACTTAGACCAGGGGACATCAAGGGGACAATCACAGAGCTGGCCTTCATGATTAGCTTTTTTAGTTGCTTCATCTCAGCCACAGATAAGGCACTTCTTCAACAGACAGCTTCATAGAAGATGGCAGATACTACAACAGAGTCAAAGAAGGTCTTCAGGAGCCTTCCTAGCGGGCCCCTGACCCTTCTTCTAGAGAGTCTTAGTATTGTTAATCCATTCCAGTTTATTGTTCAGGTGAATACCCATGTACTTATAAGCGTCTTATCAGAGTATATATAGCACCAATTCACAACAAATATCATCTCATGCCACATTACAGAGACAATTCAACAAGAACATACAGTCAGATGGTTGAAAGTTTTCTATCTAAAGAGAATCAGCCGATTGCATCAACTCGTTGACTCACAACAAGCATGCTTGTAATGACAGTGGTGAGGAAAACAGGAAGAAACTTCCAGCAGAACCAGGCTCAGTGTGAGCGGCCATCTGCTGAGGCCGACTGGGGTTCAAATACACAGAAGCAGAAATAGAAAAAGAAGCAAAGACACAAAAGGTAATTGTTAACCAGCTTAACAGGTGGCCCCATGCAGGAAACAAGCTCCAACATCTATAAACAAGGGTCTTGATGATAGCAGCACAGTTGATATTTCTCTCCAGGATGGAGTCACAGCCAAACAGGAAAAGACCAGATGAAGATACTATGAAGAAAGAAAGCAGAGAGAGCATAACTTTAGAGATGGAACTAACAAACACTGCAAAATGGGAGAACAGAGTTAAAATTAAGCAGTCTAATCCTATAGCAGCATAACTATAGAGATAGCTCAGGATGACCTGAGCCACTCTAACTGTAAGCTTTATCAAAAAGGAAAATAGTAAATCTTAGTAAGTAGACAGGGTGTCTGCCTCATGGACTAAAACTGGTAGTTGGTTCCATGGGAGAGGAGCCTGATAAATAAAAGATCTGCCTCCCATTCTACTTTTAGAAATTCTAGGAACCACTAGTAAACCTGCAGATTGAGAGCAAAGTGCTCTGTTAGGAACATAAGGAACAATCAGGTCTCTGATATAAGATGGAGCTTGGTCATTTAAGGCTTTATATGTGAGAAGGAGGATTTTAAATTATACTCTTGATTTAAAAGGAAGCCAATTAATAGAAGCTAGGATAGGAGAGATAAGATCTCTCTTTTTAATTTTCATCATAACTCTGGCTGCAGCATTGTGGATCAGCTGAAGGCTTTTACT